AATACACGAGATATATAAAATTAAGAATTATATCTTGAAATCTGAAATCGAGAAATTGCAAAATATTAATTGCAGAGTCTTAATATAAGTAGACGTGACATTTCGCTGGAATAATTGCCAATTCCTTACATAACATCTTAAAATACGTTTCATTATGATGCTTTTTCCTGATTATTTCCTGTAGGATAAGTACATTCTGGTGCACAAGAATTAGCGCGGTTTTTTTGTAAACGCGAGAAACACTTATGTGTACGAGAAGAGATCTTTCGCGAATTAAAATAAATATTAGAATCTTGTTCTTCAAACGGAAAATTTACTTTAATAAAATCTTAATTGTTAAATCATTTGATAGCAGTTTTAACGAACTTAAAACGAAACCGGTTGCTCTAATTTGCATTAAGGAAAATCGTCAAGTCGATTGGGAAACGAGACGGTAAATTTCGACGAAAATGAGATTGAGTCGGAAAAATGCTTTACTTTTCGCTTTTTAATCGAGTAAAGCATTTCGAGATGACAAAGCTATTTTTTTCATCCAAATTTTACTAGTCATTTTAATTAAACTATTCTACTTCGCGCTTTGCGTCAGATGAACAAAGTCTGATTGTTAAGTAAACGTATTTTAATTGATTCTACAAGGTGACTTAGTAAAAAAAGCGCAAGAACAAAAGATTCATTTTTAGACGTCGATGGCGGTTTATTAGCATCGCAGTACACGGCGTCGATGGTGGTGGTTGAAAGCGCCGCATATAAAGGATGCCGGGGAGGCAAACAGATCAGTTCTATGTTGGTTTACTGAAGGGATTCGATCTATTCGACTCGCGCATTCGTGACCATCATATATAGGTGGGTGTTAAAAGGAAAAGGATTAAAAGAATAGGAGATAGTCCAGTTTTTTAAATGGCCGACCGTTGGATAAAGGAAACGCCTTATAAGATCCTATCTGGTTCTTCTCGTGTCTGTGATAATACAGTGGGACGCGATATCTCTTGGTTCATGGAGAGCTTAGGATTTTAGTGGTCTAATATAGTAAATCCGTCTAATCAGACGTTACTTGTCACAATTGCGGCGCAAGAAATAAAGGATTGTAATAAATTTTGGAATAATCCTCAAATGCAAATTTTGTCGTCGAGTTTTAGAGGGAGAAAAGAACGTGGTTCTTGTTCAAACCAGTTTCGTCGATTTCGTATCTCTATCCTACTACCCTAAGAATTTTTAAAACGCTCTCTCAAAAGAGTGCAAAATTGATGGGGCAATCGCCGATCGGAAAGATAACAAAATTTATATTCTGGTGGAATCTCCCGATTATTATTTTTAATCAATTATGCCGCGCCGCGTTTCTGATTTGTCCCCCTTCCCGCGGCATTTCACGCTCTAGCAGTCGCTAACGGGATAAACGGCGATTTGATCGAACGCTTCTTTTTTTTTTTTAGAAATCATGTCAGCGGCCGAACCGGAAATGATAGCTGGATCCGCTGCCGCTGCGGCATCCACCGGTACATCGGCGTCTATCGTTTTCTTGTCTCTCTTGGTACCGGCTTTGGTTCTGTATTACATCTACTTCAAGATTTCACGCCGCCATATGATCGAGCTGGCGGAAAAAATACCGGGTCCAGAAGGCCTGCCAGTGATCGGAAATGCGCTGCTGCTCCTAGGAAGTTCGGACAGTAAGGCGATACTGTAAAAACACAATGACGTGTTATACACGTGGGCAAACGCGTATAAAATTAATATCCTAATTCGGATATTTTTCCAACATCTCAGATTAATCAATCCTTTGATCTCAATATATCCACATTAAATTTAAACAACTTTACATTTTTGCCGAGTAAATTTTTAAAATTATTTCTCATTCTTGTCATAATCCAAAATAAAAGAAATTCTTGTAAACAAATATCGTAGTTTAGATCGCGTTAACGGGTTACGAACATTCCAGATCGCGTCAACTAAACGTCGTTCCAACGACGTTCGCTATAATTTTGAGATTGGATTCAATTAATTTGACAATTACGCTACATATCTTCTGCGTATCTTTTGTGTTACTTATTATGACTCTCGGGTTGGATAACCGAGTGGATTTTGCGCCGCGCGACTAGTTTACCACGCACATAATCACGTAACTCCCAAGCAGGCCGATCATGCACCCCTATATCTCTGTTGCAGCCATGTTTCGTAACTTGTACAGAAAGTCTTTCGAGTACGATCAGATCATCAAGCTGTGGCTCGGACCGAAGCTGCTGGTCTTCCTGATGGACCCGCGCGACGTTGAGATCATCTTGTCTAGCCATGTCTACATCGACAAGTCCACCGAATATCGTTTCTTCCAGCCTTGGCTCGGAAACGGTCTCCTCATCTCCACCGGTACGTATTAGCCATTCGCTATCAGTATTGAAGCTCTCGTCGCTCGTGAAATAAATTTCCGCCTATGCAAAAAGGATATTATAAAGATTACTATAATCCTCAGGTTAGCAATCATCATTAAACTATCATTAAGCGCGCGATGCAATTAACCGAAAGTAAGTAATCGTTCAATTTCACCGTTGAATGTATATTACATCTTTCGTAATTTTTCATTACGAGCGTTATATAATTTTGCAAAAAAAAGTTCTAATAAGCCATAAATATGTGTTATCTTCAACGCGAAAGTATTCTTGTGGTAATATTTTTGAATTGTCGTTTCGTACGGACGTGATACGTATATTCGATTTATTTAAATTCGAAATAATTTGATTCAAATATATTCTTTTGGAGTTGTGAAGAAGGGAGATTCAATAGTGAAAAAGGTTACGCACAGTCAATTCAAAGTCATAAATGCAAATATCTATTGCTTCCTGAAAAACTGGCTTCTCATAACATACGACAGTATTCACAGTCGGTTCTTATATTTCAGGCCGCCTTGAGTACAATCTTAAGATATCATAAACCAATCACAAAAGCGCCCTGATAAAAATTACCATTAGAGACCATTAGAAATGGAAAGAAACGCATAGTAAAACGGCCGTTTCTGACTGTTTTACTATGCGTTTCTTTCCATTTCTAACGGTTTTTAACGGAAATTTTGACCAGGGCGTATTAGCATCTTAAGACATAACTTAAGACGGTCTTGAAATAAGAAAGGACTACAAATACCGGCCATAATCATAAAATGCTACAATTTTCTGTCGATCGATTAAATTATCAGACCATTATTAATTAAATTGAATCTAATTAAATCGAATATGCGTATCACATAGTCCACGATATGATAAAAAAAACAGTTCCATAAGGCATAGATATTATTCCTTCTGTTTTGCGTTTAGAGTAACGTTACGTTTGGAAAACCGTATCTCCCAATTTCTTGGTTCAAAAAATTTTGCATAATAATTTTGGAATATATATACGTACATATGTAAAAAATTGTATTATAAAACATATTATATATTATAAACGTAAGGTTACAGTTTTATGAAATTTAATGTAGCTCCATTTTAAGTGCTAATAATTTCCACTATTCAAATTTAATTAATCTCCAGGTATTCCTAGACTAAACTTAAATCATTCATTTACAATTTCATGGAATTTCAATCAAGCGTCTCTTTCCTCTTATTCGATCATCACTCTCAATTAATTTTATTGACAGCCAATGTTTCAGACAATTCAGACTATGGCATTCCACGGAAAGTCAAAGCAAGTTCTCTATCATCATGAGCGAACAAAAAACTAATACGAGATGCAAAACGCGCGCGCCGCCGGATATGCAGCGCGGACTTTTATCGCCGACTTTCTCGATACCGCGAGAAAAAGTCCTTTTTTCTCATGGACGAAACTCTCTCGTCGAAGCGTAACACGCAGCGTGCACGTAACGACGCGTGCTATCGCCTCGGTTAATTCGCGAGCCTCGTCGCGAGTCGAGACATCCACGCCGGCAAAGGCGTCAGCGCACACCTCGTACCGGTCTTTTTCTTTTCCTCCTTCCTCTTCCCCTTTTTCCTGCATTACTTCGCGCGAGTTTTACAGTAATGATTGGTTGTATAACGATCACATAATTCTGGCTGTTATCGCGTACGGCCTCGTAACAGGCCCCTCGACTGCCTAGATCACGCGCGCCTAGATCGAGTTTCGCAATTGTGAAATGAGAGAGTGAAATTAGAGTGCGAAATCAACTAAACCAACGAGCAAGGATCGATCGAATTGTACGATCAAACAAAGAAACTTCCTTTCTCACGTCGCGAAATAATATCTCTTTCATAAATAATTTAAGAAAAAAAGACACGCGATGAATATAAGACGTTATTTAAATTTGACGATTAGAAAACTGGTATTCAATTTACAATTTTTAAAAATTGGTATATTGTCAATATTCTGACAAACTAATGTGTCCAGCATGCATGAAATTGCAGACGATGCATTCAAAGGAAAAACAAATCATAATCAAGATTTTAAGAGCGACAGGTCCAGAATCCAGATCCGTTCCACGGTGAACTTTTACGTAACAGTAAAACGAACGCCATAGTGGCACGATATTATGGGATTCCGATGTAAAACACGTGAAAAAAAGCGAGTAAACACGACTTGCCGGTTAGCTTTCTGGTTTTCTTGCCTCATTTAATGTCTATAGGGAGATTGAGCGCTCAACCGGGTGACTTGACCGGTTCTTTCTTAAGAACTTAAGGGAATTGATATTTCGCAAAGTTGGAAAAGTTAGATTTGAATCAATTTTCCCGGAGAAACGAAGGAGGAAGGCTCGATCAAAAGGGTTGCGACGCAACCCCCTCGATGGTGAACATCGAGGAGGAGCAGAGCTGCAAAGACGTCAGAGGATCGACGCCTATGCGCGCGGCGTGTGTTGCACGAGACCTAAAACGCACTTGCATCTAAGGAGAGCGGAGAAAAGAGCGGCAGTCAGGGAGAGTGAAATGCAATCAGTCCGAGAGTAAAATCGACGGGACATAGAACAGGAAGGAAATTTGCACGCGTCAGTGCTTTCTCTCCCCGTTCTCCGTCCTCGCGCGTGCAACGTGCGCGCATCGCGCTCTTTCCGTGGATCTCGTTACACAATTACGACCATCTCTCTCTTTCTCTCCCTGTCTCTCCCCCATCCCTCTCGCGCGCGTTTGCAACGACTCTTATCTGACTCTTTCGCTTACTCCCCGGCTCCTCCACTCATTCTTCTTCCTACTTCCGCGTGTTCGATAGAAAGTTCACGAGACACCGAATACAACGGGGGATGGGAGGAGGAAATTTACATAAAATTTACACTTAAATACATCTCCGTGAAATTTTTTCCTTCCTTTGCTTCGAATTTTCTTCTATTGCGTTCTGTCATCCACCATCCACCCAACGGTTTTTGTATATTTTTCCGCATTCGGCACAGTAGAATTTTTTCACTATCATATAACTAATATAAAAAGTCGCACGTAATATAATTAAAAATAAAAATTATTAGCACACTTTTTACTTTATATTATTATTCAGCTATTTACGAAAAGTTGAGAATCCCATTTGGCCCAAAAATCAGATCGGTAATAAATGACTCGTTTCAGGTCCGAAATGGCGAGCCCATCGCAAATTGATCGCGCCGACGTTTCACTTAAATGTACTCAAGAGCTTTATTGACCTCTTTAATGCCAACTCACGTGCGGTGGTGGAACGGATGCGTAAGGAGGGCGACAAGGAATTCGACTGTCACGACTACATGTCCGAGTGCACCGTCGAGATCCTCCTCGAAACCGCCATGGGGGTCTCCAAGTCCACGCAGGACCGAAGTGGCTTCGAATACGCCATGGCCGTTATGAAGCAAGTATCCAGAATCCAATTTGGAAACCAAGACTGAAAGAGAAATATCAAGAATTATCTTGCGCACAGTTCATCTTTAACCGCACAGAAAAAAAAAGAATTTTCTCGATTTAAAAATATCTTTAATTTCAACGTAATCTTGAAATGAAATTATATTGCGTTAAACGAAGAAAACTTGCTCGAATGAAGTATTTTATATAATTTAACCAAGGAAAAAAAAGTTAAAATTCTTATAAGAAGATTATAGATTGTTGCATATATCCAAGTATATAAGTTTTGATTTGACACTTCTTTTTTTCTATGCGGTACTAAGGTTTAACCGGAAATCGGTTTTATAATCATAGATTCTCTACTCTGACATGTTCTCTGACATGTTCTCGGATCCGGCTTTTTTTAGCAAAAAAATATCTTGGATTCATAGATCTTGGGATCTTTCTCGTTAGATTTGTAAAAGATAACATTACCGACGAATTTTCGTGCAGCAAAATTTTTACGTAATATGTTCCTTGGGATATTCAAATATTTTCATATTGAAACATATGAGATACATCGTTATTGTCTAATCGTCTCTTAGGATGTGCGACATTCTCCACCTGCGTCATACGAAGGTTTGGCTCAGGCCGGACTGGCTGTTCAATCTCACAAAATACGGGAAAGATCAGATCCGTTTATTGGAGATCATTCATGGGCTCACGAAGAAGGTCATTGCGCGCAAGAAGCAGGAGTTCAAGAGTGGCAAGCGCAATATTATCGACGACTCCGTGCAAAATGGCAACGCCAAGACCGCTAAAGTAATTTTCAGAATCTTTAAAAAGCCGCATCGAACGATGGACCGTCATTATCACGTGTATATATAATATATTGTCTTTAGGTTACCTCTGTGGAGGGACTTTCCTTCGGGCAGGCAGCCGGCCTGAAAGACGATCTCGACGTGGATGACAATGACGTTGGCGAGAAGAAGAGGCAAGCTTTCCTCGATCTGTTGATGGAGGCCGGTCAGAACGGTTCTATCCTGACGGACGAGGAGGTCAAGGAACAGGTCGACACTATCATGTTCGAGGTGAGTATCGCGGATGCGATTAGAAGATTGATTCTCGATAAGCCGTCCATTCTGTCATTCACAGGGACACGACACGACCGCAGCTGCATCCAGCTTCTTCTTGTCGATGATGGGCTGCCATCCGGACATTCAGGAGAAGGTCATCCAAGAAGTTGATGAAATCTTTGGCGATAGCGACAGACCTGCAACTTTCCAAGACACTCTTGAAATGAAGTACCTCGAGCGATGCCTCATGGAGACTCTTCGCATGTACCCACCTGTGCCTGTCATCGCGCGTACGATCAATACCGACTTGAAGCTCGGTGAGTTCTCGAAGCCGAGATAGGTATCCGCACATAACTAATTTGCGTTACCCGCAAATCGTACGTCAATCATGCGAATGTCACGCGACTCCGAGATACCTAATTTATTAGTGAAGCGTTTATTAACTTCTTGATCGAGCAGATTTACAGACAGTACTTAAATGTTATAGTATAATTTATTACGACGTATAAACGTCACGATATATACGAAAACTTGTTCTAGTCGTAAAGATTTACGATTGCCGTTTCAGCGTCGGGAGACTATACGATCCCAGCTGGAACTACGGTGGTAGTGACGACCTTCAAGATGCACCGGCAGCCACACATCTATCCGAACCCAGAGGTCTTCAATCCTGACAATTTCCTGCCAGAGAAGACCGCCAATCGTCACTACTACGCTTTCGTGCCGTTCTCCGCCGGGCCGCGTTCCTGCGTGGGCCGCAAATACGCCATGCTCAAGCTGAAGATTATCCTGTCCACGATCATGAGGAACTTCCGTGTCAAATCGGACATCAAAGAGTCCGATTTCAGACTCCAGGCCGACATCATCCTCAAGCGGGCGGAGGGCTTCAAGATCAGGCTGGAACCGAGGAAGCGGGCGGCCGCCACCGCCTAAAGCGGCGTCCCTCCTCCGTCCAGATAGAATATAAAACTCATGACAAAGACTTTACTCATCACTTAAAAGTTGGATGAATAAAGTCATACTAATGTGTCATGATGATTTTATTCGCTATTACTCAAAAGTTGAACATGTCCAGATAACATCGCGATGTCATTATGAGTTTTATGTTCTACTTAGGCGTTTACGTGTAGTTGAGTAGAGGAGCACGAGGGCGAAGAAACTAGAGTTCCTATACTCTAGAAGAAACGAGCCGCGAATTTCCGAGTCCCGTCGATGGCTCACGGTGGAGAATTTCTCGATTAATCGCAACTCGTGCGCGAAACAAACGCTATTAGCTATATGTACATGTTGTATATTACTGCTCGTTGTATGACGCATATTGCTTATGTTGATATTTATCTCTTGCAATAAATGCGGCATTTTCTACGCCGCGAAATCTGAGAACCGAACTATTCCTTGTCCTCGATTAATCGTGAAAGATGCGTCGGGCTCGCAAGACGAGGGATCGGCTCACGCACGTGCGAGGACACGACTTAGGGACACTTTCGAAAGGACCGGTGCGGAAAGACTTTAGTGGAGAACTCAAGGAAGTCGGTCCCAAGATCGGAGAAGGCGCGACGATCAAAACTCTCGCGGCAGCTCGTACGGGGGAGATGGAGAAGATTAAAGACGAGTTGAGGGCGATGCTTCCGATATTAAAACCTTCAGAAGTGAAAAGGTTGCTTTATTTTTTAATAAATCCATACCTCATTAAAACGTTTGAGCTGCTGTTACTTGTATTTTGTTCCTTCCTTTTTCTTTTTTTCCGTTTTGAAGAAATATCAAACTCGTCCTCTTCTTATTAATCTGTCTCCAAATAGATTTCGTTTACCACTTCACGAAGCGATCGTTGACGAGCTCGAAGAAGGCAACTACGAGGAATCGGTCCGCTATTTGAAAGAATTATTTGAGCTCGATGAAGCGATTCGTAGGGAGGCTGGTCCTGGTACCCTGACGTGGGAGAAGCCACGCTTAAAGAACACCAGGGATGCGATGTTGCGCCTGAAGGAAAGTCTGATCGCCGTCGAGCGAGCCAAAAACGCCGGTGCGAATGAAATATAAAACCTTTAATCAAGCACATTTATTCGCTAGAATAAAAACAATTGTTTTTCGAATTGTATGTAAATTAAGGCTGTCGTTCACATATGATGATCTTGACTTTCTTACCATTGAACTTTGACATCTGGGAGGAAAATACGAAGTACAAAGTACGAGAGCAAGTACGAATATTGTGAATTTTCTGGATATAGGAGACTGCGTTTCCATGGCCGCGGAATTTCTGAATACGGCGCTGTATTTTCAAGCGATGACCTGGGAATGGTGGTGGGTGACAGAGCGGCTTTACCGTAGCGCTCTGGAGAACGCTAAATTGATCGAGGGTGATGATGAGCGCATGAGCACCTTTGCACACTATCTGTACGGCCGATTTCTGTTCGAGCAAAGTTAGCGAAATAAATTATATTTAACATACAAATGGGCAAACAAACGGGGCCCGCCAAGCCACGATTTTCTGTCGACTTTTGCCCTAAACAGCTGCACATAGTTTCTCCTCTTCGCATAATTATGTAATATTGTTGTCAAAAAATTCACGGTTGTTAATTAATAAAATATTTGGGATCAATTGCAAATTAACAATTATAATATAAATTAGTAATATTAATACAATTAACGTTCATGTGATGCAATCAGTGCAGGACACGGTGCAGTCGTTGTATCACTTAAAAGTCGCACGTGAAGCATCTCAGGAGAAGTCGTGGAACGCGTCGAAGATGACTGGTCGAAAAGAGGAGACTATCTTTCGAGAATGCAACGTACTTCTGTACAAAGCACTGCTGATGTACGCGCAACAAGTCGGTCCTGATCAACCGGACGTTGCCGTGAAAGCGTACACCGAAGCTCTCGCACGAGCGACGGATTGTAAGCAACTTTTTAAAGATAAAAAAGATGAAGATGAAAATAAGATGAGACTTTAAGAAGAGAAAGTCATTTCAAACATCATGACTTTGTTAAAATGTTACCTCATTATTTTGAATTCGTTGTCTAAAAAATCGTGCAAGTTCGATCTTCATCGCTGTCTTCGCCTCTCAGCGAAACACAGCGTTCTCTTGGAATTATAAAAAAAGCTCGTTGCGATATCACCGGTCATCTCCACAGCTGGGCATTACGAAAACAGTGCGAACGTTCTGTACGAGCTGGGCATGAGTCAGTTACGATCGGGCGACGTGAAACTCGCTTACCGGAACTTCTCCAAGTTTCTGGCAATGGCCAAGAGGATCTCGAACCCGGAGGGCATCTGCAACGCGCACATGGCGATGGCACTTGCGTACAAGTTACGTGTATATAAACGTATACTTTTCCCGTGCCACGGTAAACGATAGATAGAAACGGCAAATGGAGAGGAAATTAAATCATAATTTCGTACCTCTTTCGACCTATATTTTAGCGTCACGCGTGCAAGTTTTGATGCGATTTTGATCTCGAAAAAAATGCCAATTTTTGACACGACTCTCACGGACGATTCACGTTTGCAGGAATTGGGCGACGACGCGAACACGGAAAAGCACCTCAGCCTGTTCATGATAAATGCAACCGAGTCTGGACTCATGAAAAAACTTGCACAGGCACATTGCTGCACCGGCGAGTATTTTCTGAGTAAGGTACGAAATTGTTACGGATCGCAATTATAAAAAAGAAACAAGAGACGCCATATAAAAATTACAAGATTATTGAGGAAACTTATAGAAACAAAAATTACATACATTTCTTCGAATTTTCTAACATTGCACAAAATATATGTAATTTAAATATATCTAACGCACAGTCGCTCCGCGATATCTAATTTGTAGTGTTAATAAAATTAATATTTCTTCGGATTAGTCAACAATGCGAAAACAAACTTGGGGTTTTTTTTTAGAGAAGACCAGATATCGCGACGTTTTATTTAGAAAAGTCCTTCGAGTTATACAACGAACTCGGTTTGTGCAACGACGCTGATAAAGCACGAGCCCTTGCCGGAGTTTCGAAAGGCGAGTTACACTTCTTCAAGACGAAAACTATAACGGATTTACGACGGATTTAAAATGTCTTCGTCTTTTTAATAGGGCAGGAAATCATCGATGAATACGTCCATCTTATACACCGATGCGAAGCCGCCGATCCGAAGGCAATAATGGCGCTTTGTCAGTGGAAAAATCGTAGAAGTGTATTTTGGACTGAAAAAAAAAAAGAAGCTGCACACTGGTAGGAGACAATATTCAGCGATCAATCGACAAAAATTAAATTAAATTCTATAAAAGAACCGCGTCTCTTGCAATTCTTAAACTTTCTGAAAGAACCGCGTTTGATTTACATCACACGTAACTATAGTTACGTGTACTATAGTTACGTCTTTTATAGAATTTAATTTAATTTTTGTCAATTGGTATTATTATTTCAGAAGATTCGGAGGAGCTTAGCCTCGAAAACAAAGAGGCGATGTCTTGGTCGCAATCCTCTCTTAGCGATATCACAAACACCGCAAAATTTCATCGAAAAATTCGATTTGATGCACGATAGCTAATTCAATATTTTTTATCTGAATATCTACAATAAATGTTCATAAATGACATTCCATTCTTTTGGTAAAGTATTACATGAAAATTCAATATTCACAAATTTAATTTAAATGTTAATTATATACGTATTAAAAATGCAAAGAAGGATATTAGCAATGCTTTTATACAACTAAATAATATATTCTTTACACATCATGCGCGATGATGGGATAGATAATTGATTTCCATAATAAAGCACACACAAGTATACTTCTTGCGAATAAACTAATAGAAAACTAATAGTTTTAAGAATATGAAGGTGTTATGTTATCTGCTAATAGTTCTTAACAACTTAATATTAATTAATAACATGTAATTAACATGCATAATTATCTCCATTACCTACATTGTAATTAAAAGATAGATGTCTTACTATCAATGTGAAATCTCAGAATATATATATATTTAATTTAAGGAAAGTTTAATAATTTAAAATTTATATTGCAATTATGTTATTTTTTTGTAATTTTTTTACATTAGTATATATAATTTCTTCCACACGTTTCTTAAACTTATTACATTATGCTCAAGATTATATCACTCCCAAATACTATTTTACAACATATATATATATATATATATATATAAATATAAAAAAATTAGTGTTTTATATATATATATATTTGTAATATATATATATATATATATATATATATATTTATTATATTATGTTAAAAAATTCCAATTTTTAATTAGTGATACAGACAAATAACGCATATTAATGTAAGATTTTAGAGGCTCTACGTATCAAAATAATTATGTTGAAATTATTATTGCATTAGCATCTTCTGCAATTTATCAATAAGGGTCCACATATAATGTATGTTCATTATATAACAATTGTTAATAATCGATATCTTTGCTCCTGAAAATCTTTTTACAATTCTATATTCAAAAATTTTGGAATTTATTTACGATTACTACCTACGATAAATCAATTATTTTCTTGAATTAAAACTTGGTAAATAGAAAGTTACACACGTACCATATGATTAAAATGCGACACAGATTTCTGATAAATCATTATGCAAACGTCTTCATAATATTACTTTATATTTCTTCTGTATCTTAATATTACACACATATATGTATATGTACATATACATACACATATGCATATACATACATATATATACATATATATACATAATCACACTGTAATGTTACAAATACAAGTTTAGGTTTATATCTTAATTTTACAACAAATCTTAGTTATTTCCGCATTTAATGCAAACATACTACAGCATAGCTTTATAGCTTATCTGTTACACGAAAATCAGCGTGAAGTCAATGCTATTGTGATACTTAATTATCTTTAATACTTAACAAACACTACTCTTAAACGATATAAGTTAATATATAGTAACAAAAATTATGCGAACTGCCCGGTCGTTGCAGTCCTTCCAACTTTCTTCATTTAATGTAAGGAATAAAGATATAAAGTGCGAATTACCTTGAAAACTTCATTACACCGAAGAATAAGTTTGCAATAAAGTATGCGCCCATATATGTCCAGCAGTTCACATCTTTTTTTTTTTCAATCAACTTAAATCCTCTGTAATTGTAAATAGGCATTGCACACACGACAAAGATAAATTTCTCGCAAAAATGGGACAGAATGTACAATAGTGATTGTTTGCCACGGGCGCAATTAGTTCAATATAATATCATCGTCTAACTCCATAACGCTAATCGGATCCAAAGATGGCATATCGGCACTCTTACGTATCTCCCGCGATATGTTCTCCAGTGTCTCCGAAATTGTGACGTCGTCCGAGTTCTTCGTGTTACTACTATCCTCTCGATGTTGAACTTCAGCGGCAGCGAGCTCAAATACTTCCCTCAATATCTCATTTGCCGCATCCGCAGAGCTAGTGTCCAAGACGTAAGTCGAATTTTCCTGTATCTTGCTATGCCTATTATTCATTGCATTATCATCGACCAATTGCTCGAGCTCCTTTATCTCTTCCTCTAATTTCCTTTTCTCTTTCAAATCGTCTATTGAGACTGTTTCTTCCGTGATGTTGTTACATTTTGCCCTGTCATCATTACTGTCGTTGTTTACTGGAACAAATGCGACATCGTCATCATCGCTATCTCTTATCTCGTCGTGCTTTTCGCCATTTGAAAGATCTGGCTTGATAGTATCTCTTGCACTATTAGGTTCATCAACATCTGCACTTATTTCAGCTTCCATATTTTCTTCGTCGAACCTATTTTGTTTTTCCAATTCCTCAATTTCGAATTCCTTGTCTTCAATTACGATTGTGTCATCCAAATCTCTTTGGTCATTTAATGTATCAGTTTTGTCAGTCGGCAGAATTTCTAGGAAGTCTTCCTCCGGCTCTTTTGTATCTTCCTTCGAAAACTCGTCCATTAGATCGCATTGTGGCATTTCTGTTTCATCCATTATCTCATCTTTATCTGGTTCATCCATTATTATCTCATCTTTATCTGGTTCATCCATTATCTCATCTTTATCTGGTTCATCCATTATTATCTCATCTTTATCTGGTTCATCCATTATCTCATCTTTATCTGGTTCATCCACCATCCCATCTTTATAATCTTCGCAGTTATCTTCTAAATTATTTTCGCAATTTTCACGATCCTCGATATCCTTGCTTGTTTCATGAATTGATAAAATTGGTGACCTAATCGTTTCACTATCGCGCGTTATTTCCTCGTGAAGATCCTCTTCATCATTATTACATTCATTAATAGCCTTTTCGTTTTCTATAGAAGAAACTTTCGCGTCGTCCTCTATCTCTTTGTCTTTCTCCTCATCCACATTAGCCTCGTCCTCTACTATAGTGACAGCAGTTTTCTGCACATCCTCATCTTTGGATTTGTCACTGTCCCTGTTTACCGATGTCTCATCCTTGTCCTCCGTATGTTTGTCCTTTTTCTCTTCACCTTTTTCGTCTTTATCATCTTCTATCTCTAATGTTTTGTCTGGCATGTCTGTCGATTTTTCGCATTGTTCAGACTCATTTGTTTCAATATTTTCATCATTTGCAGATTCTTCTTCTACGCGCGACTCGCTCCTCGCTGTGTTGTCCTCCGGTTTATCGATTACATTGCCGTCTTCATTACCTGTCTCGTTTTCCACCTTTTTCGTGGATTTTTTTCTAGTAGATAAACTGAAGATCTCTTCGTCATCGGTATCCTCGATATTGACATCGATTTCCTCCGATGGATCGTCGGGGTGTTTGCCAGCGGTTCTATCGGGACGCGACGTCGCTTCTTTGGAAATATTGTCATCTTGTGAATCAACTTCAGTTTCCTGCTTCTCCTTAACGCTTGAAACGGTTAACTTTTCCAGCTTTAATGCAGCTTGTTTGAGATGCGTCAGTCTGTGTTTCGCATTGGACAGCTTGGTGTCAAATTTCTTGTCGCACTTGTCGCAAGCGTATTCCATCTTAGCTTCCGACTGTGCTAGAGATTTCGGGCTCTTAAATTCCATCGATGTCATTTCTGTACTAGATATAGAAGACGATCTCGTCCTACTGCCGGTGGTTCTCTCTTCTCGTTCATTTTTTATATGTACAGTCGACAAACTCGTCGCACCTTTTGTCTTGCTTCTCAGACTCCTACCATCTTCGTTAGACGTTTCGTCGCTAGAGTCTAAACGTGCATATGATGTTGTTTCTTCGAGAATGGATTTCTGTTTCTTCCTGTTTGTCTTATTTACACGGTCATTCAATTTACTACTACGGGTCTCTCTTTGTTCCAGAGAACCGTCCGAATCCGTACTTCTATCATCGATCGTTCTTTTACGTCCTCGTCTTTGCGTCAAATGAGTACTGGACTGTTGCTCTGCATCCACTGACGCTTTCGTCGATTTCACCTCATTCGTGTTTGCGCGCTCTTTACTCAATCTTGTCATTTTCGATGGCGTGTACTCAATGTCTTGCGACCTATCCATGATGTTAATTCGCCGTTTTCTTCCTCGTCTTGCTTTACCGTTAACAATGTGATTCCTTTTAGATGAGACCAACGAAGAACTACTACTCCCGGCAGATTTTTCTTCTTCCTGTGAACTTTCGTGCGACGTATTATCATTCTTATTTTTTTTCTCGTGCATTTTCTTTTTCCTATGCGATTTTTGACTCAGTACGTCAGTCAAGAAAACTGCGCACAATTTCGTTTCTGCCAAGTAGGATTGTGTCTGACGGGATCGTCGTATCTTGTCACTACTCGGATCTATCGTTATCCAACAATTCTTGCATACCGTTAGACCCGTGTGATAAAATCTGTACATGTCAATACCGTTGGCAACTGCACCATGACAATTGTCGCACGTTCTAACTTTCGGCTTGTTTCGCAATTTGATTTGTGCATTGATCTGTGCCTTGTGTCCCTTAAGACGTCGCTTACCACGTCGCGCCATATTAGTATTATCGTTACTGTCGCTATCGGAATTTACCGTACCATAAAATGTGATATCTGGAAATGTGGTAATAGTCGTTTTGCGATTTACCACATCTGTGTGTACCTGCAATGAAAAATTGCACGTGCGTAACATAAATGTCACTGGGAAAATAAAAAAAAAATCGACGCAAAACATAGCAGGCATGTATAATTCGACATAATTTGTTATTACCTTTGGAAAATTTGAATAGTTTATCTCTTCATTAATCAGAGCTTTTAAGTTGGCGATTGTTTCCTGATACACCCTTCTTAGATCATACAAAACATCCAAGTTATATCGACACGATAGGCATATCAAACGGGTATTCTTCTTACTGACCTGCAAAAACAGAACATAGACATCGAATGTAGGCATTTGTCTTGCGTATTATTTGCCTTGCGACGAAAAGACAACACTCGGACTTACATCGTCGTTGAAAATGCTGCGGATTTTCTGAAGAGGATTAAATAACACGTTATTGTCCTTGGTAATATCGAAGATACGGTTACTGTCCACCAACTCGTGGCACAGGAAACAACATGGCCTTGACGTCGCGGCTTTCCGCTCCGATATCTCGTGCGACTTCTTATACTTTTGTACAAATTTAGCGCACTGATCTAATTCATACGCGCACTTGTAACATATCTTGCTTGACAGATCGATGCATTCGTTAATCTAAGAGACAAGAGAACAGGTTACAGCATTACTCCAAAATTATCCAATCATTATTCTTAATTCTAATCATCTTCCTCTCTCGTTGTGGGTTAATAAAAAAGGAAAAAACGGAGTGGCCTGTCGGTCTAGTGAATAGTAATACACTATTACTGTTGCGTATACATTTATATGTATACAGTATGCGCATACATATGTGTATCACTATTCACTAAAGACGAACCTGCGCGACTTTCATTAACAAATGAAACAATACGTCGACTCAATATTGACCGAGATGATGTAATAAACAAACACACAATAATATCCAGCTACATACAAATTATCCCACAAATTCCTTCCAATTTTCGGACGAAGTCGGAGCAACGTAAATAAACGCGTACGAAAAAAACGGAATTGCTAAGTCGGCGCGAGAGATGAAGTAAATATCCGCAATCGTTCACTGTGTGTATATTTTTACATATACACGTACGTAAAATAAAATACGCATACATACGTACGCACAGCAAAATGTCGGTAAAACGGGACACGAGACGGACACAAGCCGAACACCGAGATTGACACGATCCACGTCTCTCTCCTTTTTTGCTCGCGAAGAAAATAGTACTTATTCGCGTAAAAAAATCGGAGCCGAGCGCGATTTGAGCGGTCCGTCACGCGGCCGCTCGCACTTCCATCGTTCCTCGCGATATTTCCCCGGGCTCGGAACTATTTGTCACAGCGTAGTAAGCAGACATCTACACCATCACCATCTGTACGTCTCCTCTCTCTCCCACTCCCTCTTTTTTCTTTTTCTCTTTGTTTTCACACTCGCAAGTTCCGAGTTTCGGGAACAGATGACGCGACGCGTCATGTTTCCTGCTGCACGCGTGATCGGACGCGACGCAGGCATGGCTAATTGATGCCGGATTGATCCGACGGGCGTCAATTCCCCCTGATTTTCAGATTTCGCACGTACGAGGTTCGAGGCGAGACGCGGCCAGACGTCCGCCCGCGCCGGCCCTCGGTAGAGAGCCAGGCTCGAACCTAACCTAACAGCAACTACGCAACTCTAACCTAAACCTAAACCTAAATTGGAAACCGCGTCCTCGTGCTTCGAAATTTAAACGTTCTCGCCTCTCGACAATCCATATAGATATGTCTACTTGTTCTTACGATCAGCGCAATATCAGCGCTGAAAGAAGCAAACGAATCTATCCGACAAGAGCCGCCGAGAATCTGATAAACACGCGCGAACGCGAACCATTTCTCGAGACTTGCGCGCGCGGTGTCGCTCGCCGATTATTCTTCATTCTTTATAGTTCTATTTACCTTGCTGGACAGGCACGTCTCGATCTGATCGCCGAAAGTGTTACGATTGTCCGGCGTGACGTCCAGGAAGACACCCTCGTTGCTCGCACACACGAAGCAGTATTGGTCAGGCATAGCGACGCGCCGTGGGTATACTGACGTAATTAGGGTAGCATCACCTCGGACCGACGTTCGGAACGAGACGCGATCGCAAATCGCAAGGATTCTCACTGAGCCCCGAGCCTGTCGAGTCAGCGATCAGCGACGTCCGTTATTTATGCTCCTCACGTAGCCAACGTAAACCGACGCGCACACACGGAGAATTGGCGGTAATCCTAGCCCCTGAACGCGATAACATGGCGGGCCCGGCCCGATGCTGACCGATATCGTCAGCCGTCGTGCGACGCATCGAACGATATATCGAAGATGGACGACCTTCGGACTCACTCGTTCTCCTTTTCAATTCCATTTTTTTTTTTCGCGATTTTCCCCGCGGATTCTTGCCGCTTTTTCTCGGAGCGAAGCGATCGACGATCGCGGTTCGTCAACCGAACGGCGAGTCTGAAATGGTCTGAAATTGATGTGGTGGAATTTGCACCGCGCGATTCGATGCATCGATCTCGTTCGGCGCGATCGTCTCCGAGTTCAAACTGAAGTTTACGCGATGCCGATGTTCAATTAGCGCGACGCTGCACTTTAGAGCATAAATCGTACCGTATAAAGGAAATATAAAAACGAAAGAGAAATTTATTTGTGTAACAACGTAAAACAGCTATCGTACAAAGATATATCGCAGTCGAACGCTACGGACATTCGTTTTACGGCGGGTATCGCGTTTATGTCACTTGTCATCGAGTCTTGCTTATCATCGAGACGATTGCGTTATCACTCATTGCTCAATAGACTATATTTTTATATCGCAATGTTCTGGTGCTGAAACTCGCTTTAAGACGACTTAAAATTCATGTCTGATTTCAGGACAGAATTCTATTTGTACGAAATAGAATTCCGTTTTGGGCACGTATTGTGTGGAACTTTTCGAAATGGATTCCGATTGTAGTTATTTCCTAGATTCCTATTGTGTGTGTGTATTTTTTTTTTGAAGGGAAAATGGAATAATTTCGATCGGAATCCGTTCCGAAACGTTTCATAATACGTACCGTGAATTCTGACACGAGTCAACTCGTCTGAAATGGATTCGAGACATTATACAGCGCACTCCACGACGAAAGTCCGAGTGCGAAAATCATCCCTCGCATTTTCACCATTCAGCTAGACATTTTCCGAATTCCCTGCGCGGCCTCGTTCGCACCCAAATCCTCTATCCGATCCTTCGACCCGCCAAACAGGAGCCTGAGGGTTTCTAACGCCGACGTAAATATATTCCTACAACACAGCCAAACAAATACGTAGGAAAAGATTGTCAATTATATCGTGTCTGAATATCTAAAGAAAAATTGACTGTAATCTATATTAGTAGTTTTCTATCAGTAGTAGACTACTCTTAGTAAGTTTTTATATACGACGAGATTTAAAGTAGCTGTATAACTTTTTGCATGCAGTACAGTTTTACTCAGTTACTATTATAGGTTTACTAATTATAATTAGTTTTGCTAATGTTGTATAAAAATGCATATATAATGATTGAGCTAATTTTCATTTATAATAATATGCAATAACATTAATATATCTGTACTTGGAAAGAACATGGTAGTATTTAGGATATTTTATATTCAAGAATCAGGTAGGAAAGGCATTAATTCGAACGAGAGAGCTCCGTTGTTTGAGCCTCGACGGCTGGACCATCACCTGACTCCGTCCTTTGCGTTCGCGTAGATCTGGCCGGGCGGCAGCTTCACGGAGGGCACCTTCTCTTCCACGAAGTCTAGGCCAACGCACACCGCGTCGTCGACGATCTTAAGCGGCGTCTCCAAGATGCCGGCGACTCTGCCGGTGACGGGGCTGGCGAACTCCAGGCTCGCGCGCATCCCGTTCTCCGCGTGGCCCAGGATCGTCGCGACCGACTCGTGGGAGCCCCGCGCGGCCGCGTACGCGCCGCAGAACGCCGACGTCACCGTCGCAAACATCGGCAGACCCAGCAGGCGACGCGTACACACCATGCCGCGCGCGTCCGCGTCGCCGGCCGTCGCATCCGCGACACTCGGCGCGGTGGGATCACGCGTGCCGCACATGACGCTCAATTGCTGCGGAAACAAACGGCACGACGGATATGAGGATGAAAATAATAGAATAGAATAGAATTAAACCTGTCTTACAATTAAAGATGGTCTACCTGCTATGTCAGATTTCAAAATAGAATTCTATATTATATAATTTTACGTACGTGTAAAATATAAATATACATAATTTTGTACATACTTATATACATACACATGTAAAATATGTTATGTATGTATATGAATAAAATTATAAACAGAATCCTGTTTTAATGCCGTGTTTTAATGTGTATTTTAACGTATAGTCTTTATATTTTTTTCCTATTCTTTAAATGTTTATCATTGTATTGCTTGCTAATAAGTTAGTCGGGATTTGACCGAAGTCATTCCAAGTCACGTGCAAATCCGTGCCGGAAATAGCCGTAGCAGCCCGTCGTCGATCTCGCGGTTCTCGCGAGTCGGTTCAAACGAATCAAACGTCGGACTTTGACGTCCGCGATGTATCTTGATTATGTAAAAATGATTCGAGGCTCTTTACAATAAACTCTACAAGTTACGCCATCGCGCATATCTCAATGACGTCAACGCGGAAATTAGAAATTATCATGACAACGCGCGACATGGTACCGCTTGACATTCGCGAAATGTTCGCCGTGGGGACGCCGTGGAAAAATAGCAGATAAATCCCTCCGTCCGCGTCGGCGGGAACTTTTCGCAAAGACGCGCCGACGTAAATGTCGAAAGCGAACCGACTCGCGAACGGACCAAGTCCACAAATCAATAACGGAGACTGGCACGACGATGATTATTAAGTGCGATGGACAACCCACCGTCGAGCGGTGGCTGACAATGAGCCGCGATAGCTATCATTATACGCACGTGATACGCGATGCGCACGATAGCCGATGGTCTCTCGCTGGTCTCGCGCGGCATCTCGGAACCCGCCATCTCGGGAAACCGGCCGGACACGGCGGACACCCCGAGCTCGACGCGGCTCGTGACGACGACGGACGACGATGACACGGCCGAGAGGGGCTGCGCGAGGTCCGCGCGTGCGTCCTAAATTTAGCTCGTCGCCCTCGTCGGCAAACCGGCGACGCGAGACTAGGATATCCCCTCCGTAACCGTTTATCTCAGTGCTGGATGTAAGCGGTTCTTCGTTGGTAGCGCGATATCTTTCTCCTTCCTCTTCCCTATATAACAATAAACATGACAAAATGTTTATAACGTCTAAAAAGAAGGGAATATGCGTGCCGATTGCTGTTATCGACAAGTAAATCACTTGAAGTTATTAAAAAAGCAATCGATTGACGATCAGTGATCAACAATCGATTAATAATCAAAATTATATAAAGGAAATTATTACTTTACATGTATTAAGAAAATTCTTTTTTTTATTTTCTAGGAAGACCTCTTGTATAGGACTCGGGCGACAAATTGTTATCGCAAGCTCGCGCAGGTATATGCAAATCAAGTGTTAATTAACATCTCTTTTAGCGTTTTCACTTGTGCGCCATGCGCGCTTTCGCGACTGCTCGCTGCGCGAGCGGGCGAAAAAAATTGTTTAAAAATTTTCACCCGCAATGTGCACTTCACCTTTAGGGAGTCAAGGTCGCTCGATGATCCTTCACCGTCGTCAGCGGAGATGAGAATCTGTGTGCCGGCGCGTGCGCACGTCCTCCTCACGGCGCTCCTCCGAGGGTGAGTCTACGAGGTGTGAAAGTGTACGTTCTACGGAGGGCATGAATTTTAACATGCCCATTGATAGATCATCCGCCGTTTGCTGATCCATCATTCTCGCCGTGACTCGTTTTTCCTCGACTTCGGAGCTAAGGAGCAGCTCGTTGCTCCCAGTTTCTCGTTCCAGCGTAAACGAGAATGTAATGTAACGCCGCGCGGATGACAGGGGTAAGTGTGAGTATTTACCACACGTTTTGCCGTATGTCCGACTAATGATACGCGTCTCGTGTTTTATTTCCGGAGGAGCGCGTTATATATTTCAAAGAGTACGCTTTGGCATTCGAGAATAATGACGCCTGCATATCCCCGGGCGATTTATTTCCACAGATCCAGTTGCACCATCTGGAACAAACGAGGATGACGTAGCAATTAGCTATCCTCTCTCAAATTATAGTCGTATCTTTTGTACTTAGAAGAACGCGTGCGCGCACCAGAAAGAAAGAGAAAGAGTAACATATGCATGAAAAACAAATTCTATTTATGTACAAGACGTGTAAATTGAACTGGGAATCAACTTTAAGGGTGATTTCGACCAAACTCTAATTAACTTAATCAGCGATTAACTGATCGAGTAACATTATTTTGTTAACGTGAGTAGAATCATTAATTTTTTTCTTATTTAACAAGCGAAAAAAAGATTTGACAAAGTGAATTACACTATTAGGAATTTTGCTTTGAACAATTCTGCCGATGGAATTGATTGCTAATTAAATTGATCGGAATTTGTTCGAAATCATCCTAAGTTGGTGACTGTTAAATAATAACTGTTTAATCACCATGACGTTGCAACGCGGATCGTGGTGAATCCGCTCGACGATGAAAAGTCAAATTTGATCGTAATGTCGAATGCAGGTTCGCAATTAAGATGGATGTTCACGGTGCCGGAGTGGTCGCGATTCTAGGCACGGTTGGAGCCGCTACCGGGGCAATCTCAGCGGTGATCGTTTACACTATTTGCGCGCGTCGCCGACGATTGCTTACTTCGGTCGGAGGACCGCTCAACTGGCACGTATTCCTCGTATTCTTCCTTCTTGCCTAGAATATAATGTATATTTTTAGCTTGGATAACTTAGTCGCGACTGATAATTTCCCTAAAATTCTGTTCTAAAATCTGACTTAGCGATGCTGAATAGTCTATAACATCACTTATTGCATTCATCACAACTGTCAAATAATGATTCAGCTTACAATTAATAACAATAACATAAAAAAATTGTTGCTAAAATAGCAATAAAATTTAATAGATTTAATTAAGATTGATACAAACTTGCAAATGTGCCATATCACAACTATATTTTTATTTGTACCGCATTCGAACTAGTATCGACCTTTACTCAAATAATTCCTTACTTAAATTTATATTTGATTGGCTGAAAAAGACCTGGAGAAAGACCGCAATTAGCTCTAATGAGGTTGAAGTAGAAAATATTACTGTGATATTGCACAAATATCTGTACTTTCAGGCTTATATTAGCCTTAATTTAATTTATCATTTTTTAATAAATGAGCCAATTATCACAGTTCCAATGTACCGAAAAATAAATAAATAATATAATCTCTTTCAGGTTTGAGAAAGATTTGTTAGACAGAGCCGAAGAGGCAGCCAAGTCATCGAAAGACGTTTTAGTCGGTGTTGCGCTTTCGCGGGAAAATAAGATCATCAGACGTAATGACAGTCAGTCGGATGATGATGAATGGCAGTCTGATCATGTATTTGACAGCATTGCCAGTGATTCGCCTAGAAGAGGTAGATACATGTGTGTTCTAAAATTTCTAATAAGGCAGCAGATACAGTAGAATTGGAATTGAATTAGTCAGACATTTTACGAATTTTGACTATGACGTATGTATAAATCTTTTTGATATATTTCTTAAAATCGGAAAATTTGGTCAATTTAATGGAATCGCGACATTGAAGTGTCTTCTGTTATACACCTGAACGTTCCTTTCGCAGTTATGCACCATCTCTCGGAATCAGATGATATTTCTCCGTCTCCAATGAGTCCTCTTGCACCACCCATTCCGGAAGGCACAGTGATCGCGTCTGAGAAGCGCATGATAATCGTCAGACCACCGCCGCGGAGTATAGACGGGTCTTACTCCAGGTTGAACAGCGTCGAGATCGAATCATCTCCACGGCACAAGGTATATCGTAGTTTCGTGATATTGTTCTCAATTCGTCAATAATTAGATTACTGCAGCTAAGTGTATTTTTTTGTGTCATAGCTCTCGTCTTCCTCTTCAACTTCTTCGTCTGACGAAATCAGGGGTGAATTAAAATTGGGTTTGATATACGATGTCAACGCTGGAATACTTACAGTGAGACTGATCGAGGTATCTATTTCTCGTGTACATCGTCTAGATCATGTATTTACTATTGCCGAATGTATAGATCGGAATAATCATTTTTTTCTTCGCGTTTTACAAAGGCACACGATCTTCGCGCCCGAGAATTGAGCGGCATCGCAGACCCTTACGCCAAGATACGTTTGTTACCTGATCGTAATAACGTATGGCAAACTACAATACACAGACGTACTTTGAATCCTGGTAACTATTTTCCTATTATATATTTTAACAGGGTTATCACAAAATGACGCAACTTTCTTTAAACCAGAGAAAAGGATGAGAATTGAGAATGGTCATGCCCGCTTGCGCGCGCGTTTTAGCTGTGATTTTTTTGTTTTTTTCCAAAGAGAATCAATTATCGTGCACATTACCTATACAGGATTCGGTAACAGCTAAAATACGGGTTGCGGACATGACCACTCTCATTCTTCTCTTCGCTTTAAAAGCATCAAAATATTTTATATATCTAATCTTTTTTTTAGTATTCGATGAAGACTTCGTTTTTGAAGTAACGCCTGCATCATCGCTGGCTGGACGAACATTAGAAATTCTGCTCTATGATTTCGATGCGTTTACGAGACATCGTGGTTTAGGCTACGTACAGCTTCCTCTTTCTTCCGTGCCGGATCTCGGTGCAAACTTGATCACTCTCGTAAAACCAATTCTTCGATATGGGACGGAGGGTGGATTTAAAGCACCGCCTCTGGGTGAATTGATGGTTTCCATCTCGTATCAATTGTCCATAGAGAAACTGACGATTATCGTCGTCAGGGCGAGAAATTTACCCATTTTCGACGATCCTGTAAACGCCAATCCGTATGTGAAGGTACGTACGTATCGATGCACTGACCTTAAATTTGGTTTACTTACAATAAAAATCGTTTAGGTGTCACTGATCCAGGACGGTAAGAGTCTCAAGAAGAAGAAATCGAGTGTACAACGCGAGGTTACCAGTCCCGTGTGGAACGATATTCTTACTTTTGATATTAGCAGCGACATATTACCGAAGTGTGTCTTACAATTCTCTGTGCTACGAGCGAATGGTGAGCTCTTGGCCAAGTGCGAAGTATCCGGCTCGTGTCAAAGAGAATTGTTTCAGCGTGTATTATCCGGAACGGGTGCTTCGGCACAATGGTTGCCATTATCAGAACCAGAAGCGCAACATGATGATAACGGCGAATTAAAAAATTAAAATAATAGCTGTTAAAAAAGAGAAAATATATGTACACAAGATGGTCGTGATCTTGTATACCACCACCACGTACTAAAGTGTTAAAATATTTTGTCTCTTAAATTAAGTATTTTAGCGAGAAATGTTTTAGATAAAAATTGCTTGGTTTTGAAAAGAGCAAAGTGGTGATCTTAATTTTGGCATTTTCAAAGTCATATCAAGATTGACAATTCTCAATTACAACTATTTTCACTCCATATACACCAATTGATTAAGAAATGAAATAACGGAATATTGCCGACCAATCATCTTATATAATGTAACAGCACGAATATGTAATCAAATTATGTGACAAATTGTAATAATTATTCAAGTTAGAGAGTCTACATAGCAGAGTGCACATAAAAGTAACTTTGTTGAATAAGACGGTGTATTAAAAAATTAATCCGCCGATAAAAGCAGGTTCTTTTAACGACGGTACAATTGTTATTAAATGCTACGTAAGAGATCGACTGAATTTACTAGCGCATATTACCGATCAGCAGATAGATTACCGAGAAATAAAATATAATGTGGTTAGAGAATTGTAGCTTACTCCGTTGAATATACACGGTACAAAAAAAAAATATAATTCTATATAGATATATGTATGTATGACTATAGAGAGAACAAAAATAGAAAATATATTTTTTTCCCACAGAGTTCATTGAACATGTTCTACGCATGTTTCATCGAAATATTCTCATACACATTACATATTTCATATATAATAAGAGAAAAGTAAAACCCTTATTGTTTGCGATCGCTTTTCTATGGTTGGAAAAAAGTATACACTTTTCTTATCAAAATGTTTTCATTGTTTATATCGTGTGTACAATATAACAGTACATACATAAAAAGGAATGGACCAACGCGATCCCTGATCCCTAGTCGAATAGACCTGTAAGCAGATAGTGCATTGCGATTAATATGAGAATTAATTACGTCCATTGAATAAGATAATTAATTTATTGTATTCTCATTCTTGAAATATTATCATCATGTGTATATTCTGTAGCTAATACATGCTATATTAATCATTGAATATTTGTTACGCTGTTCTTCAATTATCTAGTTATCTTCTTAAGATTTAAATATTATAAACTTGATGTATAACTCACCGAATCCCATGTCGTCGTCTGATTCTTCCTCTGGTTCTTCCTTCTTCTTTTCTTCTTTGGCTGGAGCAGCTTCGGTGCTAACGGGCGCTGCAGCAGCTGGAGCTTTAAAAGAACAAAATATATTTTTTAAATAAAAGAATAATAGATTGTTTGTCAGAATAAATGACATTAAAAAAAAAATAAAGATTAATTCATATTGCGATATATTGAAGTAGCATTTCAGTAAATTTACAATTTTTCTATAGTTTTCCATGTTGCTAACAAAACTTAAGATTCTATCTTTATTGATATAATCAGAAAGTTTGTTTTCAATTTCTTTCACCTCTTTTGCTGACCGGGCTAGCAATTTAAATGATCTAGATCGGTGGATGAAGAGGATAAAATAAACATTTGTAAATTTATTGCAAACTTAAATAACGTTCTTCCAAATCTATTTCGGATAAATGCGCAGTTATATATTCCTAAGTATTTACTTAATACAAATTTCTTGCTGCATTTTGCAGGAAAGTAAAAAGAACATAAGTACTTGTACTTATGATTAAAGCTTATAGTCTATCAATAAAAAATTATATGTATTACCTGCTCCTGCAGGTGCTGCTCCGACACCAGATCCGATGTTGGTAATTAATTCTTTAACATTTACGCCTTCCAAGGCTTTAGCAAAAAGTCCAGGCCAATAAGATTCAACATTTACATTGGCTGCTTTTAAAATTGTCTGTATCTTCTCACCCTGTGAAATGAAAACATAATTCAAGATAATACATTGTACTTATTTTTAATTTTACATAAAATTAATTTGCAGATTCTATCATTTCACAAAACCCAACAATTTGATTAAAGACTATATTTAACTTTTTGCAATAGTGGAATCAAACAAAAAGCGCCACCTTATATAAAATATAGTGAAACATTACTTTGCTTTAATTATGAAAATGTTGTTCTCTTTTAAAAGATTGAAATGCAGAGAGCATTTTCAATGCAGACATTGAAAAATTAGACAACTATTAACTATTAAGCGTCGTCTACAATGGTAGCAGGAGTATGCAGTAAGACATAAGCAGTAAGATATTACTCCTGCGGTGCTTGTCCAAATTATCACAAATCGATTAAGAGACTGTTAAACATTTCTGTTTTGCAAATCGACAAAATTTTTATGTAGTAAATGTTTAATGGATTGTAATCGCTGTATAATCTACATAGCACATAAAGTATAAATATATAATAAAAAACTATCAGAATAAAACAATGTAACAAAAATTAGATCCATGATATGACCTTTTATCGCTAGAAATTACATGATAATACAAAATCACCAAAATTAATTAAACTTTTGATACTTTTACCACAAAGGAACACGTGCATACTCCAGGGTTAGGTTCCGAGAGATTGAGCCAAGATATGACTCGTTGAATAGAAAAGAATTTGTTTAAAAAGAAGACATAGACGATGCAATTACGATAATTAATAAACAGACGCGAGCAGTAGAAGTTGGGACGCAAAAGCGATAAAACCGAAACCATAGACGGCGAGGACGGACACAAGCGTGATAAAAGCCGCGTGACGATACTTACGGTTACGGCGATGTCGTCGTCGACGAGTATCAACGCGGAATAAACGCACGCGAGCTCGGCTTCGGTCGTCATTTTTCCCGTTTAGATTTGACTTCTCGTGACACGGATGGAACTCAAAATCGGTGTAAGTCGTCGATCCGACCTTAGCTCTGCGAGAGAGAACAAACACCCAAGTTCGCGACTCCGCCGGAAGAGACAGGAAGGGAGAAGGGAGCCCTCGGTAACCGGATATCGCGTAATATAGCCGGTAAAATTGAGACGCATGCGCGATAAACGCCACGTGGCCCACGTGACAACAGTGCTGACACTGCTGACAGCAGAAAGGTGATCAACCAATCAAAAAATCCTGTGTTGAATCGACCAATTGAATTCCTCTTTGTGCTGCCCTCACTTGTCCTACTTTTACTCCAATACGCTAAAAAAAAAGAACGAACTTATTTGATCAATTTGATGAGACACCTCTGTATAAAACATAGTTTATCAATATCGTGTTTTATCAGTTATTATTAAATTATTATTAGATTTGGTTTTTAATTAAATGTGAAAACGTACGAGAAGCGTATATCGACGTATCCCGGATCTATCATTGACACGATAACACAACGTAATAATTTTTGCAGACGACGTTCTATCCCTGTCGTATATTTTATACGTTTATATTGAATCAATTAATAGACATTGCGAAAGAAACGCTAGATGTAAATAACGATCGCTCACATTACAGATATTAACAAGCATGACTGGCCTGGGTATGGACTTTGAAGACGATTTCTTCTTCGAGGAGGATAAAATGTTGGTTATGTAGAAGATCGTGGATCTTGATTGCTTATTATTAGTCAAAATTTTGTCGTACTATATTCGTTGTGCTGTATTACAGTCCTATTGCGTTTTCTTTTGGTCGTAAAATGCATGCCTGAATGCCGAACGGTGCGGTGGGAAAAGTTTAAGGGAAGGTCTAGCGATTCTCGGCTATTCCAACCACGTTCGCAAATACTAGCATGCTTGAAAGTTTGAACGAATCAACTTTGGACGAAGCTTCTGTCGCTCTGACCACCGTACCATCGGCTAGCATGGAAATGCACCAGCTGACTATGATGGAAGATCGCATGTACGCACTATTCTTGTGTTTATATTGACTTTTGACATTTCTTTTTGCTTCATATATATATATCTTTCTCTGCGCCAAATTTCAATTTCTTCCTTTTACACTGTTGCTTATCGGGACCTAGAACAGATATAGAATTGGTTACGCAAGATCGATATATACAGCGGCGACCCATCGACCACTTGTAAGTTTTGTCATGAAACATCTCTCTTTGAAAGACATTTATATTATTAAATTATAATTTATCGTGTAAATGTTGCCAGAAACTCATAGAATGTATTGCAACTAATAAAACTTATAATGACTATGATGATTTTTCTAATTTAAAAGCACTCTTATGAAAATTTGACGTTACACACAGCATAAAAGATTGTTAAATATTTTCACAACTTTAGATAACGTTAACAAATTTTTAATGATTTTGGATATGATATAATGTATATTTATAACTGTCTTTATACATATATGGATTTGTAATTATATCTTTTTTATTATAAATATTATATATCGATAGATATTGTATATTCTATTTGAATTTTATAAAAACCAGAGCATTTTTTAAATCGTATATCTAATAACTTTTTTGTAAAAGCTTTAACATGCTGTATGTTTATATTTACTTAAAGATTACAGTATATCACACATATTTTTTTATTAAATTTCAGGGGTATGACAATCACATCTGGGAACATCGTAATACAGAAGGATACTAGTAATCTAATCGGTATAAGCATCGGCGGCGGTGCACCACTTTGCCCATGTCTCTACATTGTACAAATTTTCGACAACACCCCAGTTGCTTCAGACGGTACTCTTCAAGCGGGCGACGAGCTTGTTGCGGTGAATGGAGCATCAGTGAAGGGTAAAACTAAAGTGGAGGTTGCAAAAATGATACAATCCTGCGAGTCACAAGTCAGCATTAATTACAACAAGTTACATGCCGATCCAAAACAAGGCCGTACGCTCGACATCGCTCTTAAAAAGGTGCGTACATTGGATTACGTTGTAGCACAACTCTGCACAAATTGTATAATAACTGTAAATTTCTGAATTTGCAGGTAAAGCATAGGCTAGTTGAAGGAATGGGTAGCACTACAGCTGACGCACTTGGACTATCGCGAGCCATCCTTTGTAACGACGCCCTTGTCCAAAGATTGATGATGTTGAAACGCACGGAAAATTTCTATAGAGGCCTCGTGACGCATGCTAAAGCTACGTTACATGCTTTCTTCGATTTGACACAAATTTATAAAGGTACTATAGTTTCAAACAATTATTGTCAAAAGTTGCATAGAATTATTTATTCACACAACTGTGTTTCTTTTCAGTATTTGGAGATGCTTTTGCCGCCATAGGAGTGCGAGAACCGCAGCCACGCGCCAGTGAAGCCTTCAGACAATTTGGAGAGCAGCACAGGCAAATGGAAAAGTTTGGAGTGATAATGCTAAAGACCCTGAAACCAATACTGAGTGACTTGGGAACATATCTTAACAAGGCTATACCAGATACACGGTTGACCATTAGCAAGTACGCCGATGCAAAATTTGAATATCTGTCCTACTGTTTGAAGGTAAAGGAATTGGATGACGAGGAGCAGAGCTGTGCCGCTCTGCAAGAGCCTCTTTATCGCGTGGAAACGGGCAATTATGAATATCGTCTGGTACTGAGGTGTCGACAGGAAGCTCGCGCGAGGTTCGCGAAGCTTCGCTCAGACGTGCTGGTGAAGCTTGAGTTGCTGGACAATAAGCACGTTCAGGACGTCGTATGGCAGCTGCACAAGTTTGCAGCAGGTCTAGCCAAGTATTATGCCAATACACGGGATCTATTGTCGACGGTAACGTTATTCCCGGTTGAAGTCGACTTGTCGCATTCCGCATTTCAGTACAAATCCACCGGGCCGCAATCTTTAACGGATTCAAGCGAGGACGTTGAAGAGTATGAATCGGAAGAAAAGTTGCAGAATATAAACGAGGAACTTCTCATTGACACGTCAAACTTCCCACCGGACTCGACCGATAATACATAGCAATACTTATTAAATTTCTAAAAAATTTCGAGATGAATAAGATCTTTTACAATCTATGCACGTATATAATATTTAATTATGCTTTGTAATTTACTCTTTGCTTTCAATGTAACTGTGATTATAGAATTAAAATAAGATAAAATAAGATGCACGCACACATCACGTGTGTGTGATATATATTATATATACCATTAATGTATATTTACGAAAATAAAATTATTACCAAAGAAAGAAAAACAGAAAAGCTAATGTAAGAAGTTCAGCTAAAAAGAACAAACCTGATCATCCATTGTGTTTTGAATATTTGAATGCAGAAAAAGGCTCGTCGCCTATTGGCAACACTGCCGAGACTTGTTTCCGGTTTCCGTTCCCGCCGGTTACTTCTCCTCACTTCACTCTTCTCAGCCAGCAGCTGAGTCTTTCCGTTGTGAATCTCGTGGGTTAGAGACGCGATTTTCTCGTGATCACATTTCATCTGCGTTTTCTTCTAAGAATCCGTAACAAAAACTACCAAAATGCCTCCCAAATTCGATCCAAATGAAATAAAGAAAGGTAATTTATTAATATTTTTTGTGTAGCATAGGTTAAAAGCTTTTATAATTTTTATAACCTAGAAGAAGATGTTAAATTACTTGTGTTTTTCAGTATTTTTGCGATGCGTTGGTGGTGAGGTAGGAGCTACTTCATCTCTTGCCCCTAAAATCGGTCCTCTTGGTTTGGTAAGTCTGGAAAGAATTTATTTGTACGAAAACTTGCTTGTATTTGTCATGCATGTTTACAGTCAAGAAGTAATATTTAAAAAGTAATTATTTTTAAAGTAGGAATTATATATTCTAAAATAGATAATTCTATTATAAATTTATTTTCAAATTTACAAATGGATAAAAAATTATAAATTATATTTTTCATAAACCTTGAGTAGAATTAATTAGGATTAAAATTTGTGATTCTAATATGATTTTATAAGAATTTATTGAAAAGAAAAATATCTTAAATGAACATTTTCTATATAAATATAGAAAATATATTGATTTTAAATTGATTTAAAAGGTATAGTTAACCATCTGTAATAAAGAGGCATCGAGATGACTGATAAATAATATTCATATTTCAGTCTCCGAAGAAAGTTGGTGATGACATTGCCAAGGCCACCAGTGACTGGAAAGGTTTGAAAATCACAGTCCAGCTGACTATTCAGAACAGACAAGCCACGATCACAGTCGTGCCATCGGCTGCTTCTTTGATAATCAAAGCTCTCAAAGAGCCGCCCAGGGACCGCAAAAGGCAAAAGAATATCAAGCACAGTGGTAATCTGTCATTCGATGATATCGTTTCCATTGCCCGTGCTATGAGATCGAGATCAATGTCGCGAACACTCGGCGGTACTATCAAGGAAATTTTGGGCACGTGTCAGTCAGTGGGATGCACCGTAGAAGGCAGACCATCTCATGATCTTATAGACGACATCAACGCTGGAGAATTGGAAGTTCCGGAGGAATAATTGTTGGTAGGTTTAGGGCTCTTGGTTCATGCTTTTCATTTTTGACCAAATATTTTAATGATGTATATATGTGTGTATATTTAATCTTTATATAATTATTAATTATGCGATTTATTATTAATATAATCTTGAAGTTATTCATCTTTTAATTTAAACAGTCAAAATGATAAGTATTGACTTTGAGCTCTTGGTAGGGGTTGGCATCCCATCCACCTGTCTAACACTGGCTACATCAAACGATGTGTCGAGTGCTAGCAGGCATTTAGCCATTGAGGAGACAACCTCAATAAAAAATCATGTAATCTAGTAATTTTTTGGCAATATAGAAATGCGTGTATCACTAAGTATCTCGTATTTTATGTTTTTACAGATTTTGTAAGGTGCAGAAAATAAAAAATACGTTAAAACGGAGTTGAACATACGTTGTAATTTCCTTATGTTACATTTCCTTACATGTATATTACTTTATCCATTTGTATTTTTTAAGTACACGTAACAAGATGAATTACATCAGTAGTTATTAAATTGAGCATGATCGAAGTTCTGCTTCAATACATTTCACGAATTTACGGATAACTGTTCATAAATTTACATGAAAATGTTAGAAAGTTGATTAATGTTCTCAGAATTTTTTATTTTAGAATTTCTGTAATATAATAAGATTGATAAATGCAAATTTTATACATTTGCACACTTAAGAACACTCCATAGAATTATGTTATTAAATATAAAAATCTGTAGAAAACAATATTTACCAATTTCCTGATACGTCATTAGAAGAACATACTTCATTACGTGTAATTAATAATCAGTTATTAAATTGAAGATTATAATAATTCCTATAAAAAATATTCGTGAACTAATAACATATTTACAAGTACTAAATATTACATAAAATATTTTTGCTATTTTTCACAATGATATAATTTTTGTGTAAAAGTTAGAATTCCTTTTTAGTTTTATATATTTATAAAATACACATTTTTTTTATTTTATTAAATTGCATCGAAATGCAAATATTAAACTCATATTCCAATTATCAGAATTGCACAAAAGTTAACAAACAGATATTTGGAAGAATCGGTAACGCAGAAGTAAGGACTTGTTATATCAGTCGTAGACGGCGAGACAGATATAATGAAATAATAAATTTCTTATCGAGTTCATAAGTCTTTCTCTTTTAACTTTTTAACTATTGACCAAGTACATGACCTCTTCCCCAGTTGTGTCCCCCAAATATATTCCTTCCTTGAGCATTCTGCTCTCCCGCTGGTCTTGGCGCAGGTATATTCCCAAATGATCGAATCCCGCTTCTTTGAGGTGGGAAGAAACTTTCAAGTATCTTAGGAGTTTTAAGCAATTCCGGACCACCGAGCTCCTGAGGATACTTAAATTTCAAGAAGACGTACAGGTGTCCTACCAGAATCCCATAAAACTCCATCGTGCCGCCACCGGAGATAATCAAGTTAAATCCAAACAGGACCCACGGCAGGTACATGGCTTTGAATTGCGTACCTGACGACAGAGTTTTCCATGTCAGCCAATACTTATAATACCGTTATCGTTACAACGCAATGACACTATCTATTATTTATAAATGAAATATGATGAGAAAAGGAGCGAGGCATACCGAACCAGAAATTTACAATGGCATCCTTGTTCAGCTGACACCACACGTACAACACGCTGAGCACCATGGGGTCCATGAGCAGGGGAAAGTGGCCGAGGTATCCGATGAAGACGCAGCATATCCAATTGAACATGAGCAGGAAGCCGTAATCCGCGGGCTTCCCGTCATATTCCCCGCGCTCCAGCCTCAACGAGTAATTGTACAAGAAGTAGCAGTTGATCAGGAAATGAAAGCCGGTGCCCTGGCTGAGGGGATAATACAAGACGCACGTAACCGCCCGCCAGACTTCGAAGTTATTCAGATATCGGTCGGACAGGATCAGCGTGTGCGGGCTCAGAATTCCGAATCTGCCGAGTAACGTCAGAAGCGCGGTGCCAAATAACCAATATCTCGTAAACGTCGGCAAGGATCTGAACCAGTCTCTCACATCTGACATTTTACGCGGTCGT